CACTGTCACGGTCGCAGGTCAAGCAAGATCGATGCTGTGTGTCTGTGTCTGTGTCAGCAGTATTGGCAGATTGTGACTGTGACAACACGAACTGTCGGAACGAATCATAGACAAGCTTGTGCCATGCTGCAGACCTTGCCACGAGCATGCTCCACACAGACACTTCTGAACGTGTGACCGTCTGCCTGCTGGTGTCCACCAGCGTTGTGAGGGGAAAACCCACTGCTGATGTCAATGCTAGAGCTTTGCGCACGCCCATGGCAATGAAGCCCTTCTTCGTCAGGCGCATTCCAGATTTTGATATCTGTAAAACAAGCTCATCCAAATGCGCAGGGTCATCATCACCATCGCCACGTTGTTTCTGCAAAGCAGCATCTCGGGAAGCCACTTGTATCCTCTGTTCCCGCTTGACTTTCTTCAATTCCTTCTGCAATTCGCTACATTTGTTTTCAAGGTGATGGATTCTTTTGATGAGGTGGTTTCGGTGGCAGGTGTCAAGTGATTTGTTGACAGTGCCCCACGTCATCCGCATGCTGCTTGCTGCTGCCGAAGAAGAGGATGCGTTCTGATTCGGCGACTCAACTGCTACCAGAGCATTGCACGACTGAGACTGAGACTGAGTGTCCAAACCAGCATCATTTTCAGATTGTGAATTCCAATTCCATTCAACGCTCTGTGATGCAGCCTGTGATGATATACTCATGGATCTGTGCATTGTTGAAGCCCGAGCTCCAGTCTCTTGCCTGCTCGCACACACAACCTGTCCAGGCTGTTGAGTGTGTCTTGAGATCTCACGAAGGGGAATCTCACGTCGGTCGTCTTGTCTGTTTTTGCATTCTGCTTGGATCATGTCGACCAGCAGCTCTTCCTTGATGTGGGGCATGTAAACGATGAGAACACGTAATGACCACATCGCACCAGCTGTTGTGTGCACCATGTATTCTTCCTCGGCTTTTGCAGGCGACACAGGTGACCACAGGGAATGGCATAGGGCTTGGCTTGGTTTTTGGATAGGAGGTTGGTCAGGTACCAGGTGTGAGCCGTAATGCAAGTATGTAGGCCCCAGATCCAATCAATATGGGGTCCTTCCATCCCCCGCCGTGCCCGATCAGGTGCCCACACATGACCACAGGCGACACAGGTGACCACAGGTATGGCATAGGGCTTGGCTTGGTTTTGGATAGCGGGTCGGCCAGGTAGGAGCCAAGGTATGCAATCATGTGGGTCCCAGCTCCAAGAAGGGGCCCTTCCACCCCCCGCAGGTGCCCACACATGACCGCAGGCGACCACAGGTAACCACAGGCGACCACAGGGCATGACATAGGGCTTGGTTTGGTTTTGGATAGCCATAAAGCGCCGTAGCCGTATAATAAAGACATATACCAATACTAATACTAGTTACCAGTTACCACAAAATACAAAGGCTAAAAGGCTTGAAGGCAAAGGCGGCAAACAACAACAAAAGTAGCAAAGGAAACTTCTATCATTTCATTGTTGTTTGTCTGTTTGTGTTGTATATATGTTTGTTGTTGTTAGTTGTTGTTTGTTTTATTTTGCAATGTATGGTTATGGTGGTAGTGACATTTGGCATCATGTGGAATACATATCTGTCCACTGTCCACTATCATGAGCATCGTCTTCTCTAGTTCATGGTCCCTCTCTCCCACCAGACCGATTCGACTAGTAATTAATGACCTTCTTACGGACGGACAACGGGCGATTCGACGATTAGTTGAAGTTGAAATCTTTAATGCACCTCAATGCACTGCACCTTCACCTTCAATACCGATTCAGTTTTGGGACATTCAATTCCTTCAATGATCTTTAATGACTAGCAAACCGAATCGGCTCGGCCCAACCCCCAACTACAAGTCACATTCACTCGTGAAGATGCAAGCTCGCCACTCCAGCTTCGTCCAACGCGCCGCGCCACTGCTGGCAAGGTCGACGTAGACGCAGCGGATGCGTACTGGGAGAAGAAACTGGCAAACCTGAGAGGCGGGCGACGGCGCGAAGCCTTTCCGACTCTTTCTTTTCAGTCTTGTTTAAGACTACTAGATTCTAGATGTCAGTTGTCAAGTTGTCAATGGAAAAAACCCTGTATGCCAAATGCCGCAATGCCAACGGCACGAACCATTTGGCATCACATAATCTATCGTGATTCATTGGGTCGTTGGAGGTGTAGCGCACACACAGTGGTGTTTGTTTCACTGTTGCTGACTGTTGCTGTTTAGATATAATAGCTTTATAACTTATAACTGAGCCTAACAGGCTGAGCTGAACTTCGTTGTGCTTGTAGGCGGATAGATGATAGCCTACAGTTGCTCCCCTGTCTTGCAGGCTGCAATCCAATCCATGATGAAGTACTGAAGTACTGAGAAGCTGTGAACTTTGTGAGCATACTGTTTTTGATTGGGCAGGCTAGGCGGCTAGGTTAGGTTTTGGTGCAGATTATGATTACAGTCAGACTGGTCACAAATCTGTGACATCAACAACCAGCAACTGGCAACCAGTCCATGGTCCATGGTCATGGTCTCATGGTTTCAAGTTCACGATGTGCAACATGATCACGCAGAAACAGGACGTGATTCACCGCTGGTGTTGAGTTGGCAGTTGGCAGCCGACGGGCCGACGGCATTGAAAAAAAACTAAACATAACAACATCAAGAAAACACACATGAGCTGGGCATGTTGCTGTAACTGCCAAGCATGCTCAATCTTACATGTGCTTGTATAGCTTTTGCGGAGGTGATCATTTGTCACAGCCAGTGCGTGGTGTGTGGTGCAAGACATCAGTTTCAACATAGTGTGACAATCTTATCAACCCTTTTACTTGTAGCCTTTCGGCTTTTAGCGTCACACTATTTGCTGCATTTTGCTGTGACTCTTTGCTGCGCAAATGTGCAAACCAAGTTGCTCTTGTTCTGAAAGAACGAGATCAAAATCAGCGCCTTTCTGGCAGAGTTTTGCCCTCGAGGACAGGCGAAGGATGTGGCACACATCCGCCATGACGGCTCGAGTCACCAATGACCCAATTGTACATCATGTTTTGGTTTGTTTAATGTTTCGTTCATTAGAACATTCAAAAGTTATGCACCTGACTGTGCCTGGTCATTGGTCGCATGACAATGAAACATGAAAAGCTTAAATAACATGGTCGTGGTCGTGGTAAGTTTTGTTCACCAAGGTTGTTTATGGTTGCCATTAAGAGTGCTGGTCAGTCTGTCAGCCAGTGGTCGCTGTCCACATACTCTCATACCTTGTACCCGACTTGACACAACTTGTTGAAATTATTGCAAAAACTTGCAAAAGAACCATGCAACTTATCCTGAATGAACTTGTCCAACGTGTCCAACCTCTTTGTTTGGTGGTTGTTACGACCATGGCCGTTTCCTTGCCATAAAGCATCATCTGAGCCATCCTCGCGCCTTTTGGAACAGGCAGGTTTGCCTTACAAGTACCACTCGTTGCTGCTTCACACAAGAGTGGCAAAACTTTAGCCAGATTCATTGGATGTTACTGGATGTTTTTCTTGGCTTAGCAACACTGCAACGCACAAAAACGCTGACTGACAAAAGAGCTGCCCAAGAAAAACATTCAGCCAGAAAACAAGACTCGAGTGCACGATTTCCAGTGATTGATCGTTGCGAAAAAGGACTCTTGTTGATCTCAAGGGTATGTCGAAACACAACTTGGTGTGTTCGCATCTTGTATTTTGGGAGGTTCATGTTTTTTTAGTGATGTCAAACTATGTTTTGTATGTGCCATTATTGTGTTTTTGAATATGCAAAATGTAAATACCGAACTACAAATACTTGCCAGTGAAACATGTTTCTTTATCCATAATCCTTGATTTTGCATCCTTCCAACATGTTTTGTATCCTAAAAAAACACCTGTTCACATTTTTTTTGTTGATGATTATGTTGTTATTGATGTCACAGTTGTCTTTCTAGATGTTGTTATTTATATTGCAGCCTTCTTTCTATGTAGTTTGGCTATTGATGCAAGGGCGCTCATTAAGAGGCGCCCTTACTAACCTAGAACGTCCTCAGAGGTGTCTGTGGACATCCCTACACACAACTACAAGCACACAACCACAAACACATAACCACAAACACAACCACAAACACACACCACAAACACACAACCACAAACACAACTAGAAACACACAATCACAAACACGCAATCACAAACACACAGCCACAAACAGAACAACAAATACACAACCACAAACACAGAACCACAAACACAACCAGAAACACACAATCACAAACACACAACCAGAAACACACAACCACAAACACACAGCCACAAGCACACAACCACAAACACATAGCGACATAGCCACAAACACAACCACAAACACAACTAGAAACACACAACCACAAACACACAACCACAAACACACAATCACAAACACACAACTACAAGCACAATCACAAACATAACCACAACACACACACAACAAGACATAACCACGAACACACAACCATAAACGTGTCTCTGCAGATGTGTGGCTTGCGGTAAAAAGACAAGTCTATTCTGGAGTGGTTGTGCTAGTTTGGTTGGGTTATGGGACAGGACAGGGAAACTGTTTAGAGTTTAGTGTAGTTGAGATGTTGGACTGACAAGCACCTGGGTTGCGAAATGCACAACAAGGTTGATGTCAACGTGGTTGTTTTGAAGTGTCATGGTGGGGATCACTCGAAATAGAGTAATTTTTCTGATCCGAAGGGTTGCCCCGGAGGCTTTGTTTCTTTTTGTTTGCTGTTTCTTTTCACTTTCCATTTCAATGGCTCATGCCTTCCGGATTTTCTGTGTCAAACAAAGATGTTTTTTTAGAGTGGGTTATAATATATACACATATATATAGCTAATAACTATTCTATTTATGCATATATATGTATATATATCCCCAGTGTCACTCATGCTCCGTGTCACACTCCCGTGTCGCTCCACTCTTCTTCCATCTGCATCTACATGTTCGATCCTCTAAAGGTTGTGGTGCATCTTCGAGCTCGCAGCCTATCGCAAAATGAAGCCCGGTGGAAAGATCTCCTTTGCGCCCGTCTTCGTGGAGGCATCCACCCTGCAGATCTTCATGTGGCTCTACACGTGACGTGACATGATATATTCATTTTTGTTTAAAAAATTTGGTTTTCAAGCTTCTTCAACATTCTTCAACCTTTTTCCTGGGATATCTTGTGATTTTTGGACTCAGAATGACTCCTCGTTGAGGACGCACCAAGATCCACCGTCACTCAGGTTGAACTTCGCCTGGTGGATCTCCCGAACTCTGAGGCTGAACACTGCGTGGTTTCTCATCACCATGCTGCTGCTGGTGTCAGGAGGATGTGCACTAATTCACGCCTTGCGCTTGAGCTACGTCTCCAAGAGGAGTTTGATTACTGGAATGGAGGAATTTGATGTTCATCAAGTCGAATGCTTGAATGAGTCGGACCGCACCAGCATCCATGCCGCGATCGTGAAGTGGTATGGTAGCTTGGAGGCCTTTTCGGAGTACGTGCGAGGACCCTTGCGGCAAGATGTCTTGGAACCCATGAAGGCTCCTGGGAGCCTTCCATTTGGATACATGTGCATACTGGCCACGCCAGCGGTGACCACCTGTTTTGAAGGTGTGCTAGCCTTCATCAAGGTCAACAAGTCATGGGAAGCGATCTTGCGCTACAGTCTGAGCTATATCTTTTGTTTTGCTCTTTGTTGGCTCCCCGCTGTCCTATTGCTGATGATCTTCCTTTGCGAGTCGTGGGCCACACCCAGATCGTCATGTGCATCTGGGTTTCAGACCTTGGGAATAGTTCTTCTCGGGTGTATGCTATCCATGCTTGGCGCCGCTGGAGCATTGGGAGCCTATTTCGGAGGACTTGCAGCCATTCTACTGTGGCTAGGCGTTTCACTCCTCTTTGCTGGCATTGTTTGGCGTTATTGCGGGCACCGTCGAGCTTGAAGTCTTGATGCGGAGGTTGTTCTGTAGTGTGTAGGGTAGGATGGACATGCAACATGCAACTCAAATTAAGGGATTGCTCAGACTTGGGGAGGCTTGTTGTGAAAGCGCCAGTCATACATGCCAACACGGTGGTCTTTTTAGGCTGAATCTGAAAGATGAAGCTAAACCACTGTAAAGGGAAGCAGCTTCAAAAGAAGGTAACAAGTATTTGAGATGGACTGTAGGTGTTTGTAATCACAACAATGAATCGTAAAAGCACTGTCTTGTTTGCCAATCATAGACGGTTTCGGAAGATGGAAACGACGACAAAGCACCGTTGGGAGCAGGTTTTGGGAGCAGCTCGAATGACATGTTCATGTTCTTTCCATCAACTTCTTGTGATCAGCAACACATCCATGCTGCAGCATGCTCCAAGGAAGTCAACAGACAAGGGGTGTCAAATACAGATCATGGTAGTGATCATGAAGTGGCCGCATTCAGATTGATTCACGTTTGTTTCCAACACCCACTCTCAACGATTGAGCTGTCTCAGAGTTAAAGCAAAGGATCTGGGCTTCTCCTGGTTGAGAGATTGGAGTGCCTTTCTCAAGAGCTGTTTTGCTTCCAAGGAATCGACGTCAATGGGGGGTGGTTCATAGATTCATAAGTCTGCAAGATAGAATCAACGTTTCTCCAAAGATCCTTCGTCTATGTCACTTCGTCTGCCCGCCATGAGCTTTCTTGGCATCTTGGCAGATGTTGGTGTTCAGACCGTCAAGCCAAACGTCAGCTGACGACCATTTCGAAGGGACTTCCGAAGCGGTTGATACATATCATGACAGGAGTGGATTGATATGTATCACCTAAACCTCTTAGACTCAAATCTCTGTGTCCTCATGCCTTCTTGATTCATATCTAAGACTCCAAACGTTTGGCTTCTGGCCCGACCAATCGCCGCACGCTGTCGTCCGCCGACAAGCTCGGCATCTAAGATCTAAGTGTCACGAGGTTACCAGGATTCATGAGCGAAGTTCCAAGTCATCTAAAGAAAAAATACCAGGATAATGTTTAACAAACAATAGCGTACCACTAATTTGTCTATGTTCTTCTTCGTCTTGGATTCTGGCGCAAACATCAGACTTGCCGGATGCTTTGATGTCTACCGCTTGCACACTGTTCCACTATGTTCCACTATGTTCCACTATATTCCACTTGTTTGCAGAAGCAAGAAGCATGACACACCATCATGATTCCCGGGTTCTTCACAGCTCCCAAGTTGAGGACCAAGTATCTATTGGGTCTGTCCCAGTAAACCTGTAAGTTATTAAACAATTACTATATACTGCGATTTTTGAGCAAGGCCTGCAACCTAACCATCATCATCCACTGTTACTGGTAATAGGATACACCACAGTATCTAAGTCGTTCGCCAATGCATTCACTCCACTTGGTGCGGTCAATCTTCACCCCGGAGTGTGTGTTTTTACGTGTCGCGGTAGCTGACCGCCTGTCTGCAGCCGTTGAAGCAAACCGACGTGACGTGGGCTCCTGCTGCAAAGGCAGCGCTCCACGGTGTGCTCAACAGTATTTAATTTCAAGCATGTCGTCACGCCTGCAGCTTGAGTACAGGCGCAGCATCTTTCGGTGCAGGAAAAACGGAAGGGCATAGGGGCAAAGGGCATCGCTACTAGGAACAAGAAGCCACTAGGGTCTCCTGGCCCTACTACTAGTAACAAGAAGCTACTATAGGAGCATTCTTACTATTAACAAGAACGATATGTGGACATTTTGTCCTGAAACTTGGTGGAGAGAGCTTTCGTACACGTGGTGGCTTGTCACAGAAAAGACACACCTCAGAGTCGCCATTTTTTCGACCACAAACACTCCAGCTTTGCAGGTCATGTGATCACATGGTCGATCTCTTCGGAATCGTCATCAGCTCCGACTCTCGGAGTGTCCAGTTCAGGCGCACCTTCTTGACCGTGGAGTGGCCAGTTCCGGAGGAGCACCGAGTGCAGCGCAGTAAATCTTCGCCCCCACTGAGCCGTGCCGCGGCGTTTTGGCGACCGGAGGGAGGACGGGTCCTGAAAGCACAGTGGCTGATCCTGGCTCCACAGTGGTTGCTGTTTTGAAACACAGTGGAATAATACAGGGGACCTGTACAATTTTTGGAACGAGGTCCTAACGAGGTCCCTTTTGATTGGTGGGACACTTGGGCTTTCGGCTGCCAACCAGGCTTTTGGGTCGAGAATGCGAGTTGAGAATGGAGCATTGTGCTTTGGAGGCTATACCAGAGCTGAAACTACTCCAGAATCATTTGCCCCCTCGGTTTGGTTTCTTCGGGATGTCCACCATGACAATACTCCTTGGAACAATCCTTTTCTTTTTAATCCTGCCCTTTTATGCCAGGATTCGTCCAAAAGACTGAAGCAACAAACGAAACCAGTGCAGCCAGTGCATGATCACTGAGTGGAAGAATTCAGTCTTTTGAAGTTGCTTCTATCTCGAGGTCCGGTATTGGAGTCCGCTGTCGATGTGAATGCAAGGGAAGCACGCCAACAGAAAGCCGTGGAAGGTGGGCGACGGATCAACATGGAGTTCGGTGGAAGGGGACAGATGTGGGGGGTTACACGAAGGGACCAACTTAGAACAGTCTAAATGAAGGTGTTCCGGACGAAAGAAGCTTTGCAAGATCGTAGCTTGACTGACGAACGAAGGAGGAATGGTCACTTTGAATGTGTTGAGCCTCAGAAAGTGTGCACATTCTTACACAGTTTCCATTAACTCAGTACTTTCCAGTGAGGACCAGCGAAACCGATATAGGTGTGGATGATGTTTGGCCGGTGCGATGTTTGACTGGGATGGTTATTGCCACACTTCGTCGATGGAACACTTGGTCACACATTGGATTGTGTGTTCCACATAGACACGATACACATCCAGTTTGTTAATTTGAACATTGAACAAACTGAGGTCCCAACCTTGCTGAATGTGGGTCTTTATGTGGATCTTTTGTCATCCGATGGACTTTGCTTCTATCCATATAGAAGATGACTGGAGATGATCTCTATATAGACTCATGCCGAGACCCGCGCAGACCGGGTGTCTCACCCAGTCCCTGCCCCAGTCATGGCCCCTGCCAGTCATCCAGGTTGCTTTGAGGAAGTGAGGTCCCGGCTAGGGTTCATTGATGTTCGGCTTTGCACTCATGGGGAGCTTCATGCTTCATACCCCCATCCCATCCGCCAGCCTCTAAAAGCCCTCCTTCCTTGGTCGATCCAACGGCCGCGCGGGCGGCATGCGCGGCCAGTGTTGAGCCACCACTGCGGCTTTGAAGTAGCTGGAACTCGACGGACCTGTGGATGCGTGCACGCGGAGTTTTGTGCGTGTGGCTGGGGCCCCGAGGAATCGGTGCAGAGGTGGAGCGGTTGGCGAACTTCCTCGTGTTCAAGAGGAGATGGAAGACATGTTTGTGCATTTCTCGATAGGCAAATAGATTGAGAAAGAAGAGCAGAAAGAGGGGGAGAGGGAGAGGCACCTTGCGGCAGCTGCTACGGAGCAATTTCTACGGATTTGATAGTGGTGGTGACCAGAGGAAGTTTCCCTATAGAGGTATTGGCAGACAGAATAGAAGCAAGATCCCTTACAGATGGTGAAGGACTTTGTCCAGAGTGAGTTGGATCTTGATTGTGGGACTGATACTTCAATCGGGGTCGATGTCCAATCCAGATCAATGCTTTACATCGTTTACCAACTGATTCCTTTGGTTCGAATGATCCTGTTCTTTGTTTGAACGTCGATTATGCGGATTTGGAACACCTGGATGTCTCCCGCCGACCGATGTCGAAGCGACATCGGGTGCAGCACAGACATCGGTGGCGCGAGGATGAATTGAGTAATGATATTTTCTCACACGAGAAAAACAAATCAATACTCAATCCAAGTCTAGACGTTGGTTTTTGAGGCCACCAGTGGAAGCTTGCTGCAAAGCTACTAGTAGCTCTGGGCATTACTACTAGTAACAAGCAGCTACTAGTTACAATAGGGCCTTTCTACTTGTAACAAGAAGCGACTAGTAGCTAGGGCATCACTAAGGCCATCAGTGGAAGCTTGACCGCCGCCAACGACAAATGCTTCGCATCATGTATTTGGATGAGGTCTACCAGTGTCTCGATACAAACAAAGCAAAACGCATCGTCCGCGCCGTGGGGTTTCAACCAGTTGGTGGACCGTTTGGCATGGACCGGTGGCCAGCGTGGGGTTTCGCGTGCATGGATTTGTTAGCTTTGGAGCCCCCAACGTGTCGGGACTCGACAGCAAGGATCGACGGGTATTATATATAAGTTATGTGAGCCACAGGTTTGGGGCTAGGAGAGCGCGAGGCTCGAAGTTGACGGCCCTAAGGCTCTGGTGACCGATGGGTTGGAAGAAAATACGAGAGCTGTTGGTAGATTTCACTTGGGATGATGCTTTCACCCAACATGATGTTGCTTTTCCTGACGTTCTTTTTTGCAACTTCTTGAATGGTCAGAATGGGCAGAATGGCTTGGGCAGAATCCTCGCAGCGTTGTGAACTAAGAGACACCTCATCCGAAGAGTCGGTTGGTTCCGGTCTCACGAGCGGAGGTGTTGTCTATCCCCGACGTGTCGGTCGGTTCGGGGGCGGGCGCTGAACTTACTCCGGTCGCTTCGGCCCGTGACCGGATGGGGTAAGGAAGAGTCGTCCGTCGTCGACTGCATCGATGGGAAGGAAGGAATCGGATGAAAACAAGAGTTCGCTACAGTCACAAGGGCATGGTATACCAGTAGCAAGAACGCTACTAATTACTCGTACTAGCAAGGACGGGCATCGCTACTAGTAACAAGAAGCTACTACATACGTCGACGCTGCTAGTAACAAGGCCATAGACTTCGACTTTCAGGTGGACTTTGGGCGGTTCGAATGCGATTCAAACATCCCCGATGGGCTTCTGGCCGCTCAGGTTCGGTGCTTAGACCTCCTTGACGCACCCTACCCATCTTCTAAGCGGAGGTAGTTGGAGACCTAGGCATATGAGATTATGACCCAAACCCGCAGCCATCAAAGGTGACCTGTGTTTTTAAGTAACCATCCACAGTCTTGGAGAAAACATTCAATTTCAAAAGAGCCACTACAGCTCCCCAAGATGGAACTTTGAACTTCTTTTGCACAGTCTTTTCGAAACGAACGCCCGGTCTAACTGGCCCTTTTCGACCGACGGGGATCCACCCATTGAGCCCATTGACAAGTCGACAACCCCACTTTTTTTCGATTTGGACCCACCGGATGAGGCTTCTGATCCGCCTGGTAGCTGCCTCTGAGCTCAGAGGGTGAGCGGGTGGCGGTTTAGGGTCGAGGCCATCGAGTCGCATGGGCGACGCGGAACGCAGACGACTTGACCGCAACACCCGTGTTTTTCCAGCCGCCTGTCGCTGGGCTGTGTAGGCAACTGTGTAGGCTGTCGGTTGTTTTTTCCCCACATCTTAGTGTGGGGTTCTTCTTTTCTATGTCTCATCCCGCTTCTTCCGCTTCACTTCTTCCGCGCCTCCTGCTACGCGTTCCACATACACAGAGATCACACACAGAGACCACACACACAGAGATCACAACACAGAGATCACACACACAGAGATCACACACACCGAGAATCACACACACCGAGACAACACATACCGAGACAACACACACAGAGATCACACA